TTCGCTGGGAAGCCATAAAGGCAAGCAATCAAGGCCCTTCAGGACAAAACTCCCTCCAGGACTGAAACTCAAACGGAACACATGAGCAGACATGTAAGCTTGCTGGCAACCACACTGGTCTACTGGTGAGCTGAAGAGGGGTAAAAGCAATGGGCTGAGTTCAACCACGTCCCATGGACTCTCAATGACCTGCAGATGAGAGAGAGAAGAGGAAGGGCTGGTTGGTCCAAAGTGTAGGGAGACCTAGGGACTCCTGAGCCCATGGACAGGGACATAGCCACAGAGGGCTAGAGCTGAGATGAAGTGAGGGGAGATGCACAAGAACACCCAAATTTGCAGTTAGTACCCATTTGACCAGTCTCGATGGCTTGATAATCAGAACTCTACTAGAGGAAGAAAAAAAAAAAATTTTTTTTATAAAGGAAATGAGGGTAAATGGCTACAATTTGATGAACTTGACCTATGCTTATGGATATAGTAGCTGAAAACACCAACAGAGAGGGAAGGAGTCTTCACATCAATTGTCAATCCTATTCCCTCTGTATATAGGGTAGTTAGAGTGGACAACTTAGACACTGACTACCCAAAATGAGGGGGCAATAAAGGCACAAAGTGACTAGGTTACAAGTTTTCAAGAGGGAGTTTAGTTTCAGAGTGTGCGAGGTAAGATTAGAGTTCTCACTGAATAGTTTTCATCTTGTCTAGACAAGTCTGGTGAAAAGAGATGGGGATAAGAGTCTTTTTATTCAATAGTGAGTAATTATTATCATGACTAACTGCGACTGTCACAACTGTAAAGGTAGAAGTTTTGTTAACAAAACGGGGTAGTACTGATCTTACAGTTCAGAAACATAGGACCTTAGGACCATCAAGGGAGAAGAGCACAAGCAGAATGCAGAACCCTATCCAGTGAAGCAGCGACGCCAAAGATGGAAGCAGAGAATGGGAGCAACTGTGGAGTTTAGACTCATGGAACGCGAGTGACTGAGTGCTGGTGGCCAGAAGGAAGACTTGCAGAATGTAGACTTCGGTTGTTTAAATTATTTTATACTCCTGAGTGTGTTTGTGTACATCTCCCCACCCCCCTACCCCCCTCAAAAAAACCCAGAGGGAATGGAAGCAAATACTGTTGAATGATGATGCATGGAAGAGACTGTAATCATTGCAATGAAACAAAGGTGTAAAGCCAATGTGCTCCCATATAAACTATCACTCAGTTCACAATACAAAAAATTATTTTCAAAAAACTAAGAACTGCTAGGAGAACAAATATATCTGTGTTGAAAGGACTGTTAGAATGTTCCTTAGAAGCCAGGATGCTGAGACTTGTCTCTCATATTTTAGACACATTATCAGGAGGGACCAGTACCTGGGGAACATCAAGGCTGGTAAAGTGGAAGGTCAGCAAAAAAGAGGACGACCCCCCCCTCCCCCAATGAGATGTGGCAGCATCAATGGGTTCAAGCTTAACAAAGACTGTGAGGATGTTGCAGGACTGTTGTGTATAGGGTTTCTATGAGTCGGAATCGACTCGACGGCTCCTAACACTAATAACAAAAGTCTGCTTGGAATGAGGAGTAAAGAAGGGACGACTACATATAAAGAAAAGTCAGATGGACCAAGGGGTAAGGAGGTCAATGTAAAAAAAAAAATCTGAAAATATTTTATAAGTTAGTAATAATTGCTGTTTTTGTTAAGTAGCATTGACTCACAGCAACTCTATACTGTATAGGGTTTCTGAGCTGTAAATCTTCAGGGGAACAGCAAGCCTAATCTTTCTCACGCAGAGTAGCTGGTGGGCTAGAACCATTGACCTTGTGGTTCACAGTTCAGTTCTTATCATATAGAGCCACCACACTCCCTTGTAATACTTGGTGGTGGTGGTGATATGCCATAGAGTCAGTTCCAACTCACAGCGACCCTGTACAGGGTTTCCGAGGCTGTAATTCTTTACGGGAGCAGAAAGCCTCATCATTTTCCTGCAGAACAGCTGGTAGTTCCAAAATGCTGACCCTGAGGTTAGCAGCCCGATTCATAACAACTGCACTACCAGAGCTCCTTTAGGCAACAGGTAATTTCAGTACTAAAGTACACAAGCAGTTCATATTTCTAAATATTAGAAGAATTATTCCTATTTTTACATCCTGTTATTGTTAAGTGCCATCGAATAGATTCTAACCCAAAGCAACCCTGTATAGGGTTCCCAAGGAGCAGGTGGTAAGCTTGAACTGCCGACCTTGCAGTTCAAATGACTTTGCAGTCTGACGCATTAGCCCACAGCGCCACACCAGGACTCCCTACATCTAGTAGCTAATTAAATCTTACCCTGAAGAGTCTATAAGAATATGTAAACAAATTTCAAAACAGAATGAAAACAAAGCAGTGACTATCTGTATATAAAAAAAAATTAATGCAATTTTTAAAAAGTGAATTTGGATAGATTTTGAAGAATGCACTTCTATAAAGAGCTACAAAGTTAATTAATTTCCACAGAAGCAGCTTAAGCAATACTTGTATAAATGCAAAATTATATACACATAAGACAATTCATTTCAGTACTATTTGTAACAGATAAAGTTTTTAAACAATCTAAAAGTCTATCAACAAAAGGTATGTAAAATTGATCATGGATACCCATACAATGAAGTGCTAATAGCTATTTAAAATGAGACAAACTTGACAGCACTCAACAACACAACTTAGCCTTTTCAGATTGTGTACTTTGTGCATGAATCACCTTTTCAAAAGATAGATTTAAAAAGTGTTATGCAAAAAGTTACACAAAAATCAGGGTGACTCAACAAATTACTCAATTTTGCCCAGTGAAGAGGAAGACTACACTGGTGAACCTAAAGTTTTATTAGCTTCTTACCATTCTGTTATAGTCTATAAAAACACTTTTATTAGGCCTTAAATGGAGTCTTGCTATGGTGTAGTACTTATTGTACACTAGATGCTAACCACAAGGTTGGCCATTCAAACCTACCAAACGATCCTCAAAAACCTATACAGATTCCCTATGATCAGAACTGCTTTTAAAACACTTAACACAACAACAACAAAACAGGCGAAAGACAAACAATCCAGGAAAGAGGGAAACCACCAACAAATACACAGTACAGAAGCCAACGTGAAGTTTTTCAATTCACCGCCAGAGTTCCTTATGATTACGGGACCCCAGATCATGACTGGTGCAGAACAGTGTTTCACTGTTAAAAGCAGGACTCTAGAAGCCGGAAAAGGACCATGATTGGGATGCATACAAAACTTTAGATTTAAAAAGATTACAGGATTGGTTCTGGGCCTTTGATCACCTGTCTACAAGGTGGTCAGGTACCACCTATGACCATGCAGCCCTGAGCCACAGCCACTTAGGACCCCACCTTTTAAATACCATGCAGCTATTTTCAGTAGCTCATTAAGGGCAAGTCCAGGCAAGTTCCGGTTCTCCGTACACACCTGAGGAAAAGGCTACCCTTCCCCAGACTTGGCCCAAGTGAGAATCTACTTTCCAACACTTTCTTCCTGAGGGCAAAACTGTCATCTTGCTGGTTAAAGGTCAGAAAGAACTCAACTGCAGTCTGAATTCATGTCAAGACTCAAAACGGAGTTAGATCCCAGCGTAAACCATAGCCTTAGAACTTAAGCTGTAACATGAAGGGGGGGCAGGGGAGGGGGAACTTATTCACGGAAAAATTCCCTTTTCATTCCATTTTCCCCTCGTAACTTTTGACGTTCCCTCATACAATTCTTCATCATCAACTACTTTTTAAAGGCTAGAAACTCATTTTTAATTCTCCAAACCATCTCCACCCAGTGAGTCAGTTTTACTAAAAGGGGTGGGTCTCAGTATGAGAGTCAGAGATGGCAGGAAGCCCAGGAACACAAGAAAACCCTAACACATTTTTAGTGGAACCAAACAGGAAGGGCAGCTGAAATAAAGCCAAAGGCAGATACTACAGTTTTCCAAAACCAGCCTCTACGTCCAGAAGGGCCATTTAAATCAGTCTCTGAATTAATAAATTGGAAGCATGGCTAGCCCATGCCACGAATGAGTGGCAGCTGAAGTTTGTCGTAGTGAAAAGGGCATTTTCCATGGTCTGTCTGGTGTCTGAAACTCTTTCCTTCCCTGAGAGGTGGCTCATTACACTCTAGGTCTAATCAGGGCTGATTACTTGACCAGATTAGCTCCCTATCAACTGGCAGAAAGCAGGGAGGTTAAGCCCAATCAGAAAATATTGAGTCAGGCTCGTGTGGCGCCTTCGTTTCACTTCTATCACTTTGGGGTGGTCGCAGCCATCTCCTGGTTTCCTTCCCTGAAAAATATTCCCACAGGATGGGCTGATGTGCTGACGTCAGCACACGTGTGCGACAGAAATCCAGAGTACCAATTCCAAGAACAAGCCAAACCCTCATTACTGTTGCGTGAATTCCGACTCATTATAAATCTCATCCGGGGTACAAATTTACGTTTACATATTCTGTCCTCTCGGGTTCGCTATGTGCAGTAAAAATTTCCCAAGTTTCCCTGAATTTGCTGTGTCACCGGAAAGTCTACCCACCCTCCAGACTTCGCTCTCAGCGCTGCTCGCTGGTTTGCCTACTGAGCCCTCCCGGAGGTCGTTTCTGCAAGGCCACTTCCTGGCCTCAGCCACTCCACCTGTGGTCACCAGCCTGAGCGCAGGCGGGCGTCCCTGATCACTCTGATCTCGGGGTGGCGGCACAGAGGGCACAAACAGGGCTTCCCCGAAGTCCTGCACACCCAGCCGGCCTCCTCAACTATTTCAACCCACTACCCCGCCCCAACTCGCTCGCGTCGTGGAGCCCAGGTCCTGGGGCGCGCAAAGCGAGTCGCCCGCCACCCAGGAGGCCCACACGGCCCTCCGCTACGCCCGGGACCTTTATACTCTCATCTCCAGGAGGCGGGGAATCAGAGAGGGCCAGAGCCGAAGTGACAGGGGGACGAAAGGGTGCGGAAGGAAGCGAGCGCCGCTCCTCACCTGACTCCGAAGCAGCCGCGCCACAGCCAAGCCCGATCTCCCTCAAGATGGAGCCGGGGGCGGGCTGGTGGGGGCGGGGCGCACGGGGCAGCCACCACCGCCGGTTAGGAGGCGACCGAAGCGGGAACGCCCCTAAAGCGAGAGTGGGCAGGGCCAGCCTGGGTGGTGGGTGGGGACTTAGCCTTCTGCAGGCCCAGCGGCTCCGCCGGATGGCCCCTTGGAGAAGCCCAGCGGTTTGATCACCTTTCTCCGCCCCTCTACTCTAACCCCATCTGGGTTCTCTCATGATTTTTTGTTGTTGTTAGGTACCATCGAGTCGGTACCGATTCATAGCAACAACAGAACAAAACACTGGGCCAACCTCACAATTGTTGCAACGCTTGAGCCCATTGATGCTGCCAATCTGCCAATGCATCTCGCTGGGGGTCTTCCTCTTTTTCTCTGACCCTCCACCTTACCAAACATATCTTTCTCCAGCGGCTGGTCCCTCCTGACAATATGTCCGAAGTATGAGAGACAAAGTTTGGCCATCCTAGCCTCCAGAGTTGGCTGCACTTCTTCCAACACAGATCTATTCTTCTTTTGGCTACCCATGGCACTTTGAATATTCTCCTCCAACACCATAACTCAAAAGCATCAATTCATTTAGGAGGATATAGCAACTCTGGGGGAATCTCCAAGCGCCTTCCGTGGTAGATTGCAGAGAAGAGCTGAGACTGGGAGGCAGGATGCATCTACCCGCCTCTGAAATGCCACGCCATGCCCATCTGTTGCTATTGCATGCTGTCACTTGGTCTGGATTTGTTGTTGCATGCAATGGAGTCTGTTCTGACTCATACCGACCCTACATAGCATTTCCGAGAAGGGGCAGATGGACTTGAACCACCATGTTGCGGTTCAAATGAACCTGGAGAGCCAGAGCTTATCCTACAGCACCACACCAGGACTACATATAGGGTTTTGTTGTTGTTGTTAAATACTATCAAATCTGTTCAGACTCATAGCGACCCTGTATAGGATTTCCGAGGAGCAACTGGTGAGTTTGAACTGCCAACCTTGTGGTTCCCAGTCCAGTGCTGATCCCACAGTGCCACATCATAAGTCCATATATAGTTTGTTGTTGTTAGGTGCCATCAAGTTGGTTCCAACTCATAGCGACCCTGTACAGGGTTTCCTAGAAGCAGCTGATGAGCTTGAACCGCCCACCTTGCAGTTCAAATGGATTTTGCAGTCCAGGGCATTAACCCACAGAGCCATACCAGGATTCCCAAATAGAGTTTTGTTGTTGTTAAGTGCCATCAAGTCAATTCCAACCCATAGTGACCCTGTATAGGTTTCTGAGGAGTGGCTGGTGAGCGTGAACCGCCCACCTTGTAGTTCAAACGGACTTTGCAGTCCAGCATATTAGCCCACATAGAGTTTATAGGCTGTAAATCTTTTCATGTTGTTGTTAGGTGTCCTCCTGTGTTAGCAACCCTATTTCAACAGAAACACTGTCTGGTCCTGTGCCATGTTCACAATTGTGACCTTGAGCCTTTACAGCTGTCACTGTGCCAATCTATCTAGGTGAGGATCTTCCTCCTTGTCACTGACCCTCCACTTTACAGTAGCAGAAAGTCATCGTTCTCTGGAGCAGCTGGTGGGCTTGAACTACTCACCTTTCAGTTAGCAGCCCAACACACAACCAATACGCTCTTAGGTATCCTTTATGAATAAGGATGGTGTCTTTTATTGTCCCCTGTGAAATGAATATTAACTGAAGACCCTAGATAGAACTTGAGAATGAATTCAACAAATTCACTCTAGAAGGGGATTGTTAGATGGTTCTAGGATTCCCTCCTGCACCGTCTGTGTAGCACAAACACCTGACACACAGTAGCATTAAAACATTTGAGGCAACTTTCAGGGTTCAGACCAACATCTTAAAATCATTGAGACAGTTTGTCTTCCAAACAGCACCATATCTGTGGAAAACAGTGCCTATGGCCATTAGTTTTGAATGGCTAAATAATATCTCACAGCTGAAACTGGAAACTGTGATGGTCAATAGAAACTATTCCTTGGTACCTACCCATCCCCACCCCCAAGTGGTTCCCATACCTGTCATACTTTAGATAGGTCTCTGGTTCCAGAGTGAAAAGCAACGAGCTACCTCTTACAGCTGTTCTCAAATTGTGGTCCTCAGATCAGCAGCATCTACATTATCTGGGAATTTGTTAAAAATACATATTCTTTGGCTCCACTTTTGATCTACTGAATCATAAATTCTGTATTTGAACAAATCCTCTGAGTGGTTCTGATGCACACTGCTGTTGTGTTGTGAAGTGCCGTTGAGTCAGTTCTGACCCATAGTGACCCTGTATAGGGTTTCTAAGGAGCAGCTGGTGAGCTTGAATTGCCAATCTTGCAGTTCAAACGACTTTGCAGTCTGGTGCCTTAACCCACAGCGCCACACCAGGACTCCCTGATGCACACTAAAGTTTGAAAAACATCAAGCTATTTATTACTGTCTGTGGTACCTCGAATTTCCTTTCTATCCAATGTCTTCTTAATTCCCACCAAGTGATTGGGTTGTTGTTGGTAAGTGCCGTGTCGAGTCAGTTCCAACCCAGAGTGACCATGTATAGGGTTTCCGAGGAGCAGCTGGTGAGTTTGAACCACCAACCTTGTGGTTTAAACTGACACTGCAGTCCAGCGCATTAACCCACAGTGCCACATGAGCTCATGCAAATAAGGTGAACAGGACTCTAAAGCTGGGATTGATTAGTTTTGCATCCCGCTAGGTTTAAAAGGAACCATCTCAGAAGTAGAGATGGATGATCCCAGAGCCATCAAGAAGATGATTACCTAGAAAAACGGAACAGCAGAGACTGTGGCATGGAGAGACAGAGCAGTTGAGGGTTCTAGGCCCAAGGACCGAGTAAAGCTGAGTGCCTACAGGCAGGAGGCTGGCTGGCAGAATGTGTCCTTGGGGAATTCACACACTGGAGAGAAGAGATTTTAATTTTTAACACTTGCCACAGCAGAATACCGGACCATGCAGGCTCAGGGGATGGTGCTAGAACCCTGAACCACATATACAGGAATATTTAGAAGGTTGGAAAGCTTACAGCTAGGTGAATTTGTAGCAGAATCAAAAAATCCATTGCTTTCTAATTCAAGACGCTCAGCTGCTCCCTGAGCCGCCATCTTGAGAGAGACTAAGTGGGAAAAGGATCAGAACAGCCACGAATGCCTGACAGAACCACAGAGATACAGGTGTGGACATTTTTGTGTGTGTATATGTTCATTGGTCTCTCGCTGTCTGCGCACCTCCATTTTGGTGACTAGAGGGGGTGCATGAGCAAAAGGACACCCCACCCTCATCCTTGGAGGGTTCTACTACGCATGCGCAGAGATCTCCTCACAATTTAAAGTGACAGTTTCCACTTAAAACCAAAAGGCCATTACTCATCTGTCAGTTTGTCGTACCGTGGTGGCTTGTGAGTTGCTGTGATTCTGGAAGTTATGTCACTGGTATTATTCAAATACCAGCAGGGTCACCCATGGTGGAGAGGTTTCAGATGAGCATCCAGATGAAGACAGACAAGGAAGAAAGAGTGATGAACTACTTCTGAATATTTAGTCACTGAAAACCTTATGAATAGCCGAGAAACACTGTCAGATATAGTGACAGAAAATGAGTCCCTCAGGTTAGAAGGCACTCAAACTGCGACTGGGGAAGAGCTGCCTCCTCAAAGTAGAGTTGACCGTGATGATGGGAATGGAGTAAAGCTCATGGGAGAAAAGCCCGCAGGACCTTCATTTGCTGATGGGGCACAACTCAAAATGAAGAGAAACAGCTGCAAACATCCATTGAAAATCAGAACATGGAATGTACAAAGTGTGAATCTGGGAAAATTGGAAGTTGTTAAAAATGAAGTGGAATGCATAAACATCGATATCTTAGGCATTAGTGAGCTGAAATGGACTGGTATTGGCCATTTTGAATCTGACAACCACATGGTTTACTATGCCTCGAATGACAAATGGAAGAGGAATGGTGTTGCATTCATTGTCAAAAAGAACATATCCCGATCAGTCATGAGGTACAATGCTGTCTGTGATAGGATAATATCCATGCACCTACAGGGAAGCCCAGTTAATACCACTATTATTCAAATATACGCACCAACCACTAAAGCCAGTGAGGATGACATAGAAGAATTCTACCAACTTCTTCAATCTGAAATCGATCAAACATGCAATCAAGGTTCATTGATCATTACTGGTGATTTGAATGCAAAGGTTGGGAGCAAAGAGGAAGGATCAGTAGTTGGAAAATATGGCCTTGGTGATAGAAATGATGCTAGAGAACGCATGATAGAATTCTGCAAAACCAATGATTTGTTCATTTCAAATACCTTCTTTAGACAGCATAACAGACGACAATACACATGGACCTCACCAGATGGAATACACAGAAATCAAATTGACTACATCTACAGAAAGAGACGATGAAAAAAGCTCCATATCATCAGTGAAAACAAGGCCAGGGGCAGACTGTGGAACAGAACATCAATTACACATATGCAAATTCAAACTGAAGCTGAAGAAAATTCAAACAAGTCCATGAGAGCCAAAATATGACCTTGAATATACCCCACCTGAACTTAGAGATCATCTGAAGAACAGATTTAATACATTAAACACTTAAGACCAAAGACCAGAAGAGTTGTGGGTTGACATCAAGAACATCATACATGAAGAAAGCAAAAAGTCATTGAGAAGACAAGAAAGAAGGAAAAGGTCAAAATGGATGTCATAAGAGACATTAAAACTTGGTCTCCATTGTAGAGATGCTAAAGCAAATGGAAGAAATGAGGAAGTACAAGAGCTGAGCAGAAAATTTCAAAGTTCAGCTTGAGAAGATAAAGTCAAATATTACAACAAAATGTGCAAAGATCTGGAATCAGAAAACAAAAAGGAAAAACATGCTCAGCATTTCTCAAGCTGGGGGAACTGAAGAAAAAATTCAAGCCTCAATTTCATTATTGAAAGATTCTCTGGGCAAATTATTGAACGATGCAGAAAGCATCAAGAGAAGATGGAAGCAATACAAAGAGTCACTGTACCAAAAGGAAATGGTTAATGTTCAGCTGTTTCAAGAGGTAGCATATGATCAAGAGCCAATGATACTGAAGGAGGAAGTCCAAGATGCATTGAAGGAATTTGCAAAAAACAAGGCACCAGGAACTGATGGAATGAAAATTGAAATTTTTCAAGAAAGTGAGGCGGCACAGGAGGCACTCACTCATTTCTGCCAAGAAATTTGGAAGACAACAATCTGGCAGACTGACTGGAAGAGATCCATATTTGTGCCCATACCAAAGAGAGGTGACCTAACGGAATGCGGAAATCATCAGATAATGCCTTTGATATGCCATGTGAGTAAAGTTTTACTAAAGGTAAGACAGAAACGGCTGTAAGCATACATTGACTTCCAAAGGCTCAAGCTGGATTCAGAAGAGGCTGTGAAACAAGGGATATCATTGCTGATGTCCAATGGATCTTGGCTGAAAGCAGAGACTATCAGAAAGATGTTTACCTGTCCTTTATTGACTATGCAAAGGCTTTCGACTGTGTACATCATGACAAGCTATGGACAACATTGTGAAGTATGAGTATTCCAGAACACTTAATTGTGCTCATGAGGAATTTGTACCTGGACCAAGAGGCAGTTGTTCAAGCAGAACATGGGAACATTGAATGTTTTAAAATTAAGAAAGTTGTGGACAAGGTTGTATTATTTCACCATACTAATTCAACCTGTATGCTGAGCAAATAATCTGAGAAGCTGGCTTATATGAAGAAAAACGTGATATCAGGATTGGAGGAAGACTCATTAACAACTTGCGATATGCTGATGATACAACCTTGCTTGCTGAAAGTGAAGAGGATTTACTGATGAAGATCAAAGAGCACAGCCTACCACATGGATGACATCTCAATGTCAAGAAAACAAAAATCCTCAC